GGCTTCTAGACAGAGTATGTAGTAACAAATTGACCCTCTAGGGGGCAGTGCCACTTTTGATGGGAGATGAGCATAGACTGTAGGCAAATAAGAAAAAGGGAACGGTTCTATGAGAGAACATGTCGCCGGTGAGACGCAAGTCCAGGAAGAACGGAATAAGGTAGAAACACATTTTTTTTCCTGATGAAAGAAGAGAGTCTACTCTTTCTTTTGGTGTGTTCGGTGTTTACATAGTCATAGCACAAACTATTCTGTGGCTCTTGAAAAATCAGTCAAAATGCTCAAAAAAACTGGCAGGATGGGACTGTCTGTTCTGAAAATGGCTGCCAGTCAATGAGTTAATGGGTCATCTGATTTAGGGCTCGGAAGCTTTCTGAGAAATGGCGAAACCCAAACGAGTCGGGAGCTAATCTGAGGCGCCCACAGAACTCCACCGGTCGCTTTGCATGTTGTGGATCGTTTGGTTTTTGGCCTTTTTTTGCCTCTCAAAGCTCTGCTCTCTACACAGGATGGCCTGAACTCTTTATTTACCTCACACCTCTCTGTCCGAGCTAAAACCAAATGGACTGTTCCACACTTAAATTGTGATTTTCAGCCGATTAAACGTATAAATCAGAGGATTTGACTACAGGTTTGTTTAAATTGTTCCTAGTTGAGGGAATTCTGCTCCAACTGGGAAGCTGCTGGTGGAAAAAGCCTTAAGGTCTGGTGCCCTATTGTTTTTGTGGCCATTAGAACATTAGTCTGCTTTTAAAATTACAGAAGAATCTCTATATAGGAGTGTAACTGGTTCCAGGACTGACTTTTATGTTAAAATGTTGGTATGTTGGTTCAAATCCTCCATCAGAATACTCTGTAATTCCTAGAATTGGTTCCAGAAACCTACGATAACTCCTTAATAAATACTGCAGATAATTACACAGAGCAAGAAAAAAAAAGACTTCTAGAAAAGAGATGGAAACAGAAATAAATGATAAAGAAATAATCAATAAAAAGGTTTTATTGGCAGGTAGAGACTGAGATACAGGACTACCTGAACTTTAAACCAACTTAAATTATTTATTTTTATATATATTTTTTTTTCCTAGGACTTCGACGTTTTACTTCGGGTATCGAGTCGAATATTTGATCGAATTTCACTTCGTATGTTGGAAAATGTGTATGTTTAGGGATCTTAAGTAGAGGTTTTGCTGTAGTTTATTAATAATTTCATTAAATAAAATGTACGTTTATCCTAAAATGTGTCTCCATCTGGACTTTAACAAACCTGAAACAATTCAGTCTCTGTGGAGACGTGAGCTTTGACTACAGTGTAAATATCTGTATGTAAAAATGCACACTTTAGGTAAATATTGTTTGGAATTGGTTAAATTCAACATCTGATGTGAGGGTTTTGTCCAAAATGTGGTGGCTTTTGTGGATTTTGTTGAGGAATTGGTTACAGATATTTACACTGTAAAATCTGTAGCCAAACAGCCAAAACATGCAAAACAACCCGTGTTGTTCCTTGAAGGCTTAACCTCCTGAGACCCTGTGTCCTCATAAGTGGACGTTGCATTTTTGTCTCTCTTTACCATGATACTTCTTTTTTTCTTTCAGCTTTGACCTCTTGGCCTCATAGCAGATGCTATCAGACACTGTTTGAAATCTAAAGTAAAATG